AAGTTAAAATTTCTATCAAAGAAAAGAAGAAATATTTCATCAGTGGCAAAAGTCCAAATTAGATGAGGACTACATCAAATATAGAAAAGCAAGAGCAAGAGCAAGAGGAAAGTAAATTCGGCGAAATCAGAATCATGGGCAAACTACAGAGAACAATTAAGGCTATGCACTGATTCACCAGGTCAGTTATACCGAAGCATCAAGGCTATGAGACTGAGAGAAGAGAAATTTAACCCATCAAAGATCATAAACAGCAAGGCTAAAAAACCACTCACCAAATCCCAAGATGTTAAAAGAAGATGGCAAGAATATTTTTCTGATTTACTGAATAGTGGACCACAAGAACCAGTGTCTAAAAAAAAAATTTGGACAAGAACAAGAACCTAAAATATTAGAATCTGAAGTTGAAAAGAAACAAAGCGGCCGGAACAGATGGTATTACAACAGACATAATACTTGCATGTAAGGCAACAGCAGTAAAATGGCTGACAAGAATATTCAATATGGCCTGGGAGGAAATGAAAGTTCCCGTTGACTGGCAGCGAGCAATTATAGTTCCCATATGGAAGAAGAAAGGTGATAAACGAGATTGTGAAACATACAGAGGTATCTCTTTACAAAGCCATGTAGGAAAGATGTTTGCAAAAATATTAGAACGAAGAGCGAGGGTGACATTAGAACCTCAATTAAGTAACAACCAGTTTGGATTTAGAAAAGGAAAGAGCTGCACTGATGCAATATTTACTCTTCGGCAAATTTGTGAACAGACAATTGAATATAATAAACACCAGAATCTTATATTCATTGATCAAGAGAAGGCTTTTGACAGGGTTAACAGAAATAAACTATGGAACATTCTTGAAGAATATGGTGTACCGGGTCAATTATTGGGAAACATAATGGCTCTCTATCAAAATAGCCAGAGCGCTGTAAGAGCAACGGAAGATATGACAGACTGATTCCCCATTACATCAGGAGTACGACAAGGATGTGTCCTATCACCCCTACTCTTCATCACATATATGGATAAAATTGCACAGGAGTCAAACCAAAACACAGATATTATAAATGAACTACTCTTTGCAGATTACCAATGTTTGTTACAAGAAGAAGAACAAAAACTACAACAACATGTTGATTCATTGCTCACTAACTGTACAAAATTTGACATGAAAATAAACACCTGAAAAACTGAAGTAATGACCATAGGAAAGAAACACAGTAATGTAAACATAAAGATCAATGACATACAATTAGAACAAGTTCAAGAATTCAAGTACTAAGGGTGCATATTTACAGAAGATGGAAGACTCGATAAAGAGATACAGGCTAGAGTTCAAAAAGCCAGTGCAGTCAACTACCAACTGGCCCAACTTCTTCGTCATCAGAAGATCTCGTTACCAGCCAAACAACGGATGATCAACAGCATTTTCATCCCTACGTTATGTTATCAGTGCCAAACGTGGACAATGAACAAATCACATATGCAAAAAATAACTACTTGTGAAATGCGATGTCTCCGAAGTGTCACCAACAATACACGAAGAGACAGAGTCACAAATGTCAGCATTAGAGACAAAATTGGAACAAGAGCATGCATGGAACATATTGAAAGACAGAGAATGAAGTGGTTTGGCCATTTAGTAAGAATGCAACCGGATCAGATTGCCTATAAGGCCTTTTACAGTAGAACATCGGGAAGAAAGGCCAGAGGAAGACCCAGGAAAAAATGGATAGATGGAGTAGCTGAATACGGCCAGAAGATCCTGAAAACTGTCACTCAAATCACGCGAGAGGCACAAAACAAATATTTTAAACCACGACACTGGGCTGCAACCCGGTAAAAGTGAAGAAGACAATAGATAGATGTGCGCCATAAAAAATGAATTAGCATTGCACGCCACCAAGAGCTATGAGAAGGAATCCTACAGTGTTGCTGCGATCAAGGGACACATACACAAATGCTGTCCCAATCGGCGATGAAGTTGCAAAGTACTAGGAGCAGCAGAAGCAGTGATAGTAGTATTATTAACTGCAGAAACAGTACTAGTTGTAGTTGTAGTAGCAGTGGTGGTGGTGGTAGTAGTAGCCACAGCAGCAATAGTAGTAGGTGCAGTAGTAGCAACAGCATCGGTAGGTAGGTAATAGTACAACACCAGGACATCATACAAGCGATAGACACCCGGTGACACAGTGCCATCATGTGGATGACGACCATCTGTGAAGAGGTCTCAGAAACCCCTTCCAGCCGTTGGGCCATATCTATGGCTAGGCCATATCTATGACCTGGCTATACTTAAGGCGCCCGGCAGAAGCCATGGTGAGGCTTCAAATAACAAAAAATTGCATCCCACATGGGGACGACTTTTTATAATATAATGATTTCAGTCAACAATGCCTTTAATTCTTCAACGTTAAGCAAATGTAGTTCAGCATAGATTTTTCAAATATGGCATTAAGTGTCAAAATTCAAAGCTGCCTACCTGCAGATAGGTGGATATTTATACCCCACCAGGACATCAGACAAGCGATAATCACCCGGTGACGCATAGTGCCACCATGCGGATGTGGATCACCCGCGGAAAGTCCCAAAAACCCCTTTCAGTCGTTTGGCCATATCAATGGCTAGGCCAGACCTATGCCCCAGCTATATTCAAAGCTCCCGGTAGAAGCGATGGTGGGGCTGAAAAAAAAAATGCATCCCACATGGGGACGATTGATTATGCTTACCTGCAGTATATCTAAGTATAACGAATTTTTACGCCAAGTGGCCTGCAATTTAAAAATTAGCCATACCTGAAATTTTTTCGCCTTTCGTTTTGGGTATAAACAAGTTTCTCTAGGAGGGGAAAGCTCCCTCGAGGGAAACCTCTTATGTTCTGAGAATAAGTTAATGAGTGCGGATGTCCAAGGAAGGTCACATACGTTACATGGAAACTTCAACTGTTCGTTCGCTGGTCACCGGACAAAAGAAAATGAGCTTAGATAATACATTTCCTATTCCACGTTTCATCTCTCAATGACACAGTAGAGAATCGGGTGGGGGTGGGTGGGGGGGGGGGGAAGTTGTATGCAACACAGGATTTTCTGGAATCCACTAAGTAAAAGAAACAGAAAGAAACGCCAAAACACACTGTTAAATCAGAGACGGAAGTTGGTGAAATGGGAAGTTTTTGTTAGCGGAATATAATGGCAAAATATAGGGAGATTTGAAGTGAGATTTGTGTGTGTTTAACCCAGAACCTTTGGTCCAATTGGTTTTAAAAAAAAAACTTGTTATCCTCGAAAATATTTAAAAACCCCAATGCACTTTTAAAAAAGCCCAGGCAGTAGTAGTAATAGCAGCAGCAGCAATAGCAGCAGTAGTAGGAGTAGTAGTGATGGTGGTGCTCTTTGTGGTGATGGTAGTCCTGCTGGTGGTAATGGTGCTGTTATAAATGGTGGTGGTGGCGCTGCTGGTGGAGGAGGTACTATTGGTGGTAGTGCTGTTGGTAGTGGTGGTGGTGGAAACCTGTAAAAAGATAAACAAATCCATCACCCAAGCAACCCGAGAAGACATACAGAAAACCACAACATTTCTAATCAGTCTCAACCGTACTGAGATTGTGTGTCTACTAGTGGTTAGGTCTGCAAAATATGATTTATGATCCGACAATATAGACATTAGTCGGACCGCTGCTAGTTTGGCAGAAAATTTCTTCGGTTACATAACTAAATTTAATTTAGTTTAAATAAAATGTAATTTAAATAAAAACTTTTTGTTGAACACTGTAAGCAGTTTCAATCAAATAAATAAAGATTCAAATATCGTTATTGTAATGTTGATGATGGTGATGCTGATGATAATAATGATGATGATGCTAGTGATGCCGTGTCGGCTCGTGACCAGGGCGGAACTCAGGACACCTCACACCGGACTGACCCGTGACGAGAGCGGTGCAAGCCCTGGACACCTCATCACTGTACAGTCGTGGCCACAGCACAAGCCATGCGGCCGTAAAACCTCAGCCTGAAAGACCCTCCCCATACCGCAAAGTGGTATAATAAAGGCGTAATTGGCAAAAAAAAAATTTTTTTTTGGGGGGGGGGGGGAGACTGAACGGTTACAAAGTTATGGATTTTTTAATTGCTGCAGGACTTCTGGAAGAGACTATAGATGATACAATTCCTTTTATCTCTCGAGGCCACAGTAGAGTCAGAAAGAATGAAAGCAACAGTAGCTACATCATGATTCGAATCTGTTGTCTATCTAAGCTAGTTTTTTTTCTTCTTCTAGGGTTCTTCTGTAAAATCACATCTTCGCGGCCTCAATAAATTGTTTGGCTTGTTTAATAATTGTCCAGAATTCGCAAGCAAAGGTTAAAGCTGGGTGTATACGGCATGCGATAATTCTTTTCCTAACATCTGATAAAATTGATTTATTGTGTGAAGTGTTTTCCATTTATTTTATAAAAGTAAAAGTAAATTTTATTGTTCATAGTTTCTTGTCAAGTTCAATACTATTTTTCGATATGTCTTGTTCTGAAGTTAAACTTGATCATGTTATTGTAGCCCCCTAATGCGGTTTTGACACATTTAAACATATTTAAACTGCTCACTACAATCAGAAGAAAGGCATGGGGTACATAAACCACGTTACAACAGGTACCAGTAGTATTGGAACTCTGCGCTGGCTGTTGAATACGAGGACGGAGAGCGCATGGGAAAGCTCCAGTGCTGTGATATCAATTCTTGATTCAACTCAACTCACCTTTAAACACCTATAAAATGTTTTAGCATTATCTACAGAAGTATAAAAAAAAAAAAAACAACAATAACGGATGTCTAAAAAGAAAAAGAAATTGGCCGACGCGTTAAAAAAGCCATCGCTGGTGGCAGAACTTCACCTTGGATGTGAAAGTTGGACGCCGGTGTGTTGATGTTTGGTTGTGCTGACAAGTGGACAGCTACCTCACGGACAACGACAAAACCACTGATTTCGGAGAGTTATACCTGTCAATATGTGGAGAGCACGTCCTTCAGGAAAGGTGGACATCAGATTTGCTAACAAAAAACAGTTTATAAATATAAAAAAAAAAAAAAACGTTCCGCCCTTTGCAATATATCATTTTAAAACTTAAAAAAAAAAAAGTATTTTTTTTTAACTGATTAAAAAGTGAAGTATTATATTAATACTATTAATTTAATTTACCGTGACTAATCATATCGTATATTGAAGTATATTGTCATTCATCGCTAAGTGTCTTAGTTACTGACTGCCATCATTGGTAATGCTTGCTTATTTATTTCAACCTTCAGTATGTAAATATTTCAGAATCATGTTGTAAGAAAGCTGGCTCACTTTAAACATGGCACTTTTACTCTGAAACAAATACAGCTTTCTGTAATTGACAACACTGAAACTGAAACGCAGATCAAATTCTGTATACATTCTACCAGTTTATTTCTTCTGTTCCATCACAATTACTCAATCCCAATCATCCCTGTTCAATTCCACAATAATAGTTTACTGCTATCTTCTGAGTAATGAATTTCATGTGCATCTGTTATAAAGATCTGGCTTTTTTCTATGCAGACCATTGCTTCCTTTCCTCTCAAACAGATGCGCTCCCACTTCAAAGGATGCCCCCAATCAGACGGCTCCTTTGACATGCTTGTTGGAGAGGCAGTGGGTCTATTCTTTTTTTCACCACAGTGGATCCCTGAAACCCAAACGTGGACAGCTTGTCTGATTTTGTTCCTTATCTGTGTAATAATCTTCCATGTGATGTTCTCCTCACCTAGATGTACTGGAATGTCTCTCCTTAGTGGAATTTATCCCCTTACCCCATTGACTTTGATGGTACATTTAGCCATGATTTCTTTGTGTCACAGTCTTTCTGTTATTCAAGCTAAGGCTATGTTTTTCAGTTTCTGTTTCCGCTTATTCTATTTTATGTAGTTCCTTCTGACTAGTTACTGTCAAGATACACTCATCAGCTTGACTGGCCACCAACAGTGATTCCTAGTATAGTTTTTTTCAATTGATTAAAAACTTTTTGTGAAATGAAAACAAATCATGTGACACTCCTGGGTAGTAAACATCCTTCTCTGACACTGTTTAGGCCTTTGTATGTTTGTATGTTTAAGGTCACAGCATAGTGAAATTCCTTTCCTTACCTCCCTTTTACAGATAATTTTTAAAATAATGTACTTTTTTTTTTTTAAATGTTGCTGAACTGACATCAGCATCTGATTGATTTTAACAAAAAAAAAAAAAAAAACCTTACTGCTGACAAGAGATGGGACCTGAATAACTGTCTGGGTAAGCAAGTGCACTAACCACTATGCCAGGACAACTCCACCAAACATATATATGGCCATAATGCAGGTTTCAGAAGAATGGAAGAGGCAGAACAATGATTTACTAATTTTATGATTTAAAAAAAAAGACCCTTTCACCCCAGTGGTGCATTGGGCAAATAATGCCTTACATTTTTATAGACCAGTGGGCTTTTGATGGATGATTTGGTCAACATTTTGATGGTCACCTTATCTTCACAAGACATTTCCTAATATCTATTTTAGGCTGGGTGGACCTGAGAGGAAAGATGATATTTTTAAATTCAAAATCTTCCAGGCCAGGTAAGAGTTTAGCCACTAGACTTCTGCAGCTCCCAAATTGATTATTACTCAGTTAAACCGTTGGCTCCATAACGTAGTTTCTGAGGCCTCATTTTAGGATGGTGGAGGGGGGGGGGGGGGGGAGAAAAAATAGATATACCACTCCTAGCAAGTATGTCATGAAAGGCAACAAATTAAGAGTTTGCTGATATCGGATCATTATCATCAGATGCCTTGCTGACTGGCGTGGGCAATCATGCCTCTCCACAATCTGTGATCTCCTGCAGCTTGTATCAGTTCGTGTGCGGACACACCTCCATGCCATGCAACAAGATTGTCAAGAATCTCTCGTTGTCTTCATCTATCCCTCCTTCCACAGATCTTTCTAGTGGAGTGGACACCATATGTTCAATTTTTCCTCTTCCCATTACATAGCCAAAAAATGATGACTTGTCTTTTTCTGATGTCTGTGATTAGTTGTCTTTGGGCTCCCGCCTCTTTCAAAACCTCTAGGCTGCTCTTTTTGGCTGTCCAAGGTATTTTAAGCATTCTTCTGTAAAACCACATCTCGGAGGCCTCAAAAAATTGTTTGGCCTGCCTACCAATTGTCCAGGACTCACAGCCATATGTGTTGGATGTGTTGGACTACATGATTCAAATATCACAGCCAAACTGTAACCAAACATTAAACTTCATTTAAAGATGGACAGAAGAGAAGAAACCCATAAACTAAACCCAATGTTCCATTGCTAAAGTATCTCACTAATATGTGTTACAGAGTAACCATCTGTCTTTTCACAGGGGTGGCATTTTATAAATGCAATTAAACAGCTAACAACAACCCCTGCTCCTCTGCCAATGCCAAAGTCTCCAGCCAAATCGTAAGATGATTGTTTGTATACTTTATTAATATTTTATAAAACTATCTCTCTGCTGAACCAGAGCTTTTCTCAGAAGTGGTTACATCACTGGAACATTGTAGACACATGTCGTCATTTAAACTGACTCACAGAGCATGTCGAGAAAGGTGGAGACAGGCATGCTCCATGCAGAGTGGCAAGCATCACTTCAGAGGCCCCGGGTAGTTAGCATCCTTTGGATATTTTCTCCAGGTCATGCCATGAGCAGACAGATAGACTGGTCAGTTCTGCACCACTTGGTTGTGAACTGATGTATGAAAGCTGGATTTTGTAAGGGCCCTTTGGGAGCAGTGAACAGTGCTGAGGAACAAATAGATCATTACCGTCTGAGGCACTGCGAGGAGTTACAAAGGGATCTGGCTGACGTTCGACACTCAGGGAAAAGGCTAGAATGATATACAACTGGACAGTTACTGGTTCCATCGGAATTTAAACTTTTCGCTTGCTGCTGAAGATGGGAACACAGCACTTATGGGGGTGTACTGAGTACAATGATTTGATTCTTTTTTCAACATTCAATTGGAGCAGCAGACTGTCAGAATGTAATTGTTACAGTTTGAGTACCTGCTGATTAAAAGATTATAGATTATGGGATAGTTTAAAAAAATCTACTGATAAGTTAAAAAATTCTCTCATGCATAGAGCCAGTTTTAACATATGGCTTTAAATCCTTGACAGTTAATAAACAAATAGTTTCTTGAGGCCTTAGAGATGTGGTGTTACCTTAGTATTCCTTGGACAGTAAAAAAAGAACAACCCAGTTGTTTTGAAAGAAGTGAGGGCTTTAATTCTACTTATCGCAAACATGAGTAAGAGACAAATCGTCATTTTGTTTCTGGCCATGTTATGAGATGAAGGAAACTGGAACATGTAGTGACCACTGGAAAGATCTGTGGCAAAAGGGACAGAGGAAGGCAACACGAGAAGACAGCCTTTTGTCATGGCACGGAGCGGTGTCAACACCTAAACTGATACATGCTGTTCAGGATCGCAGCTTGTGAAGAGGCCAGTTGGCAAGGCATTTGATGATTATGATCATGTTGGTCATGAGTGAAATAATTTGCAAAGCATGACAGAAATCTGTGTCTCCACAAACGTACACACTTACACACCTTTCTGTCTCTTTCTCCCTTCACTTTCACATTCTGTCCATGTATGTGTGTGTGCACACACATGTATGTGCTTCACAGATGTATGTAAATATTTACTCAACAAATCAGTGCAGTCTCTTCTTTCAGAAATGCTTGTTTTTTATTTTTTTAAATTCATCTTTTTCCCTATAGCTCATCAAACAAAGGGAAATTTATTTAGCTTTTTTTTTTTAAATCTAGAAGTGTGTGCAGTTGTATTTATAACTGGCTTAATATTAAATTGCTTCCTTGTCATACCTTGGGAAATGTTTTACTGTTAATGTTATTGTTTTTCTGTGCTGACGGAGGCTGTCACAACAGTAGTTCTTTCTGTCACCTATGATATGTTCTTATAATGCCAATCAGTTCAACTTTATTCTTTTTGATTTACTTTGTTAATGTTTTAGTGTGCCCTTTATCGCGCCCCCCCCCCCCCCCCCCCATTTATATACATTTTAGCTGTTATTGACCTAAGGAGTTTCAAGACATTAAATAACTATATACTTAAATTTCCACAGAAATACTTTAAGGTATCTTAAAATTCTTGGATTTGGTTTGCCAGCAACTGCGGGCAGTCTGTTGGGCTATGTGTGGTATGACCCAAACTTTCGTCAGCAGCTACAGGCTAATATACCATATGTTAAAGAATTGCTAGAAGTCATATTGCCAGAAAGTGATACTGAAACTCCTCCAACCAGGTATGTTTACAGTTGAAATTTGTATTCAGATTAAATTGAAATAATTCATTGCTTTTTTTAATGTTATGTTATTCTGGCATTCTTTAAAAATAAAAAATGCCATTTATTCTGAAGGAGAGTGAATTTGATGTATAGTAGTAGTTCATAGAGCTGTGATGGTATAATGTATAGTAAGTTCATAGAGCTGTGATTGTATAATGAATAGTAGTTCATAGAGCTGTGATTGTATAATGTATAGTTCATAAAGCTGTGATGGTATAATGTATAGTAGTTTTTAGAGCTGTGATGGTAAAATGTATAAGTAGTTCATAGAGCTGTAATGATACGAGGCGTGTTTATTAAGTAAGTCCTGGTATAAAATAAAAAATCATCATATATAAAAGTGATTTTTTGCAGCAAAAAGTGAAGCACACATTTAAATTATTTCTCAACATAGTCACCATTAACTTCAACACATTTTTGGAATTGTGGCACCAGGTTTTTAATTCCAGTATCATAGAAGTCTGCCACCAGTGTCTTGAACCATTCATTAATGCACGTCTGCAGTTCATCATTAGTTTGAAACCACTGGGATGCCAGCCACTTCTTGAGGTGCATGAAAAGGTGGTAATCACTTGGCGCCAGATTGGGGCTGTAGGGCGGGTGGTCAACAATTTTACAGTTTCCATCTGCGAAGTAAGGTCAAGCATTATCATGCAAAAGCACAATTCCAGAGGACAGCAACCCACATCTTTTGTTTTGGATGGCACATCTAAGTTTTATCAGAGTGTCAGAATAAGCTTTGGCATTAACTGTCTTTTCAGGTTTAAGAAAATCAAACTAGACCCCTTTTTTGTTCCAGAAAAAAGTTGCCATGATCTTTTTTGACAGAAGATGCTTGCTTAAACCTCTTTGTTTTCGGGGACCATGAGTGTTGCCATTGCATCGACTGTTGCTTTGATTTGATGTTTGTGTAGGAAATCCAGGTCTCATCTCCAGTAACAATGTGCCCCAAAAATTCCTCTCCTTCATTTTGAGAGCGCTGCAAAATTTGTTAGCCGAAGCAAGGCGTTTCTGCTTGTGTTCATTGGTTAACATTTTTGGTACCCATTTCGCCTACAGTTGTTTTTATCCAAGGATTCTTGTCACAGTGTCGTAAATCAGTAAATGTGAAACTTCCAAAAATTCAACAGCCAATGCAGAAATTGTGGAACAATGATTTTCCTGAATTTTTTATTTGTGCATTCATTTTAAATCACTCACTGCAGCATCTAACAAGATTTCTACAGTGAAAAAATAGCACATAGGTAGCTCATGAAACACATAAACATACTGCATATGCACATTTATATTTTTCATCAGTGTTTGTCGGTACGGTCAAAAAGGGACTTACTTAAAAAACACGCCTCATATAATGTGTAGTAGTTGATAAAGCTGTGATGGTATAATGTATAAAGATAGGTAGACTCCTCCCATGCATGCTCCCCCTGTGGAGTTTTTATATAAAGCTCTGTCATGGAGTTTCCTTCTGTAGTCAGTTTGTATGGATGATCTTTCCAAAATAATCACCATAAATTGTTGTAAATAGGCTTAGGAAGTAAAGGTGGTTAGGAAGAGAACTGGTTACTCAATGACTAATCCTTCACACCTTTATCGCAGTGTTTACCATTGTATTTATATGACTTGATTATTGATCATATGTACTTTACTTATATCAGTTAATATTGTGTAATTATTGGCAGTTTTCAGTGGATTTTTGATTAATCAAATGACTGTTTTACAAACACTTTATTTCAGAAAACAGATACCAGAAATACCTGCTTCATTTGAAGGGCCACCAATACCCATTGTGAGAATTGTTTGGTTCCAAGTTATTTTTATAGGTTTGAGGTTTGAACAACAGATTAAAATCATGGCAGATGGATAGTAGCCCATAAGTGCTCCTTTCTTCTTCTAACTCAAGTCTAAGTCTGAAGAAGCTCAGCACAGTGCACAGGCTCTGTAGAAAAGGCGAGGATCCTGAAATACTTTGGGTCGACTTTTAACTCAGAATGTTGTCATTAGGCTACTCTTTTCAATTTCCAACTGCCAAGGGATTTTTTTTTTTACGTGTGCAGCAATGCACACGGGCATACGATCTCACTACCCAGAGACCAGGGGGAATTACTAGAAGTCCAAGTCCACGAGAAAAAATCCCAGCCCTTATCGGGGGTTAAACCCGGAACCTCAAGCACTCATGGCAGACTCTGTGCCTCGGCACCACACAGCACTCTGTTATTTTTAAATTGTATGTGTATTGTTAGCTAGTGTTATTATAATTATATAAAAATTTTTTAATTTGTACAAGAATTAGAACTAGCCAGCTTCACAGTACCACAATCACATACTGGCTTTCTGACACTGCAGTGTGCATTCATTCTTTAGCTGGGGAAAGTTCCCCCCCCCCCCCCCCCCCCTTTCCCCGACTAAATAGACTTCAGGTTGTACACAGATTTGTAATATGACATTCACTGTTTACCACATCTGATAATCTCTTAATCTAGACAGTTTGACACCTTATCAATTAATGATTCTGCAGCAGCATTTGCATTTAAATTATCTTTATAATTTGTTAATTTGTTAGATTTAAAGGACTACATTCCCTTGGCCAGAAAAATAATTAATATTGTGGGTTATACCATGATCCCAGTTTCTTAAGGCTGTAAGAGAATTACAACATCTTCATGGCTAAAAAAAAAATTTTTTTTTTTTTTTACAAAATTAACTCAATGCTGTTTTTTGTTGTTGTTTTAAGTAAAATATTTCCAGCCCTCAAAAAACACTACACAGGTGCAAACATAGCCAGTGCCATTAACAGGCCAGTGCAGCAATGCTGGTTTGGTGGCTTCTGAGCGATTTGTAACAATGCCAGATTAGCAGCATCTCTAGAGAAAAGTATGTGACAAGTAAAGCTAAATAAGGATGATTTCAAGTACCCATATGTGAAAATAATCTTCCGAAGAAGTTTAAAAGCAAATAACAAATGTAGAATTGGGGGGGGGGGGGGTGTGTGTGGGTGGAAGGGCTGTGGAGGTGTATTTAGAATCTTCCTGCTATTCTTAGACTGAACAACCAACCTGACATAGCTTGACATAAAACTGATCATTAAATGTATTGGGTTAATTGTGAAGAAACTTTTTTTTTTTTTTAGCTATGATGATATTATAATTCTCCTTTGTCCTTTAGAAACTGGTGTCATGGTATAACCTACAATTGACTTCAAGAATTCATGACAATGATGAATTTCTGTTTTTTAGAAATAATTCCTCTAATTTGAATTTCCCAGATTTCAACAGATGATAAAAAGGACACAGCTGTTGAGAAAGGATTCAATATAATAGGTAAATTATTATCGGGGGAGAGAGGGGTTGGATATTGGAGGCAGATCAATGTATTTGTGAAACAAAATAAAAGTAAATATATCCTCTAAGTGCTCATGTTATTGTTAAGTTAAAGATGAAGTGTACTTTATATGCAGCAAATTATTCATATATTTTGTTTATTATAGAACTGAGATCTTAAAAGTTTTTACCTTGTCATAGTTTTTGCACTTCACCCACATCAGAAGTAGAAGATCCATGTTCTTTAGAGACATAAGAACTGGAGTACATCGTGACCGCAAGAAAGTTAGAGATTAAGAGAGGGAACATTGGACAGTCTGACATCTCTCCTTGAAGGAACGTGTATTTCAGAAATAACTGACGTACATGAGGCAGAAGAATGTGCATATATATAGTGACCAGCGCCACATGGCGTTGATTGTTGCATTTGTTTTTAAGTAATATGTAAAAAATAACCAGTCATAGAAAAACTACCTTTGACCTAAAGTGTTTTAATTATTCAAAAATACCCTTCACCAAACAGTTGAGAAAAAGAAAAGAAAAGCCGGATCCCTGTTAAAATCATGTGTTTATCTTTCTCCTGTTGTCTCTTTGTGGATTTTCAGCTAGTCATTTCTACTTAATTAGATGCATTCATTTAAAAAAAAAATGCAGCTGCATTCCATTAATGTAAATTTAGAGCTGGTAGGTACCTATACTGGCGAGGTTAAAGTACTGCCAGGCAAGTTGTATTGTTAGCTATCCAAATGTTGCCTTCCCTAATGTTTGAATTCTTGATTGCTCCACAGCACCAGAGTTAGTTCACGCACAGCATTGTCAGACTTCTGATATTGTGCGAGTAGAAGATTTATGTTTACATTTCCCAGGTCTTTTTTTTTCTCTTTACTGATTTACAGTTGCAGCAGTAGTTCTGTTACATTTTTGTTTTTCTCTTGAGGTTTTGATGTTTGTATTTATCTTATCATTTTTTTTTTTTCCATTTCATGTTAATAATTTTCACAGCAGTATTTATTATTGTGAACATCTCGCATCCTACGTATGTTCCAATGTGGAATAAAACATCTAACAAATACATTCACATTTTATTACAAGGCAATGCTTTGATTTTATAAGTTCTGTTGATAAAATAATGTAAATCGTTGACATTCAGCAGCTTTCTGGACATTTGTTTTTAAATGTTAGAATGTCAGAAACATCATTCAAGTTTCTCTTAGCTTTACTGGGCATTAATTTTCTCATGTCAGAAACATCATTTAAGTTTCTCTTAGCTTTACTGGGCATTAATTTTCTCATGTCAGAAAAGTAAAACGGGAAACATGAATGTGTAAGAAGAAGCAGTGGTAAGAAAAGATGCCTGTAACCATCCCTTATTGTCCCAGTACTTAACATAAGGGAAATTCTAACAACCATGCTTCTATGGCAGCGTTAGCAATTGAAGTATTGTTTACTTCATACATACTTACAATTTTTACTTATCTTGGACACTGTGATTTACCAGCAAAAATTAGTAATAAAAAAACATATCTTAACCCAGCATACTCCTACATTTATTATGTCATCTAGTCACTTGTTTCCTTCAGAACTGCATAGAATATTCCAGCTAGCTAGTCTGCCACATGGTAAACATTGTTAGCAGCGAAAGTCTGCAGTTCATATAAACAGCATTTGTTTTCTTCAGATTAGCAAGTAAGATCAGCTCAGCCTATATCATACTTTCTTTGAGAATGTATCTGATGTTCAGTCTGCACTGGGACTGGCAGAGGTCTCCCTTCCCTGGATAGTTGCATTGTTCATCAGTATCTGTTTTAAATCCTTAAAAATTTAGATAAGTTTCATGTTTTAAATCAGTATGGGATAAACCATAGAATATAAAACTTTGAAATGTAGTTTTTATTTACAGATTCTTCATCTACTGAAAAGGATGTGAGTGTTCAAGGTATGAAACATGTCATTGACTATAGAGTAATCTTTGAATTATTTAAGATTGTTGTATGTGATTTAAATCACTTGATGATTTCCTCTTTCTTGTATCTTATGGAAGTCAGTTAGTCTAGTGTAACATTTGTAGCCTAGTGCATGCAATTTCAAATAGTTTATGGGTTGGGTCTGCCTTTAACTATTCTGCTTTCAAGGTGACAAGTTTATTTATTTTTCTTAGAATAATTGCAGTTCTATCTGATTTTTAATACTGGCAGCACAACTCTTTGAATCATGTAGACACAGTTTTATCTGTTTTTGCAAGATGAAGATCCAGGAGATGGATGACTTGAAACAACAAAAGTTTGTCTGGTTTGGGTGTGTCATGATGATTCTACGAAGGTCTTTCTGCAGAGAACATTTGAGAGAAAAAGAAGCAGAAAGAATAAATCCTGGTTTGATAGCATTGAAAAATAGAAAAGGTGCAGCATTGTAAACTTGTACATATTGCTGAGGAAAGTATGGTGGGGATTGCTGATGCTTCCTTTGTGACAATCCACGTCAGTTTATAGGATAAAATAATGATGCTGCATGCAAGGATTATAATACAAGCAATTTGCACCCACATGGCTAGCAGGGTATTTCAGTTTATGGAAATATTTATTATCCTGTTGTGTCATTATATGTCACATAGGGCTCATACTCTATTCCTCCATTCTTTTCTGACCTGTGCAGTCAGTTCAATACTATGGATGGAATCCAGTTCAGTACCTTTTGCTGCTCTCATCAGTGTTTGTTTTAGGGTTTCTTTTTTCTTTTTTAGAATGAAATTTTTCTTTATTTGAGGCCGTACTCTGGTTTTTGCCAGAGGCCGCAATATAGGCAGACCATAAATATGGCCAATTGTCTGGGCATCCTTGCTACTTAATCCCTTTATTTTCCACTTTAGTGCCTGTTCAGCGATTCTCTGCTCATTTCTTCTTATAACTGTTGAGACTAGTAGTTGTCCAGATGTTGTAGTAAATGTTTTCACCCCTCTTGAATTGTAGTAGTATGCCTTGTATCAAATGCACACTTTGTAAATCAGCCATGAGCAGTGTGATTGAAGTGAATCTATAGTACTTTCCTAGATAGGGATCAATCAGTGTTGAATGAAAAGCCTTATTAGTGACCATCTTAAAATAATACCAATTCTGTCATAACAAACATAGCTTGATTCCACTTTTATTATGAAGGATTTCCCTAGCAGTAAGTTGTCATTAAGTAGAAATGATTTACACTTATAGCACTCTTTATTAGGTGGAAATTATCTATGCTCATAGCACCTCACTAGTAGGCAGAAATTATTTACACTTTTACTAATTATTAGTAGATAAAACCTCAGCTGATTGCCAGTCGTGATCTTAGTTTTATAAGATGGAATTTAGCAACAGTTGTTTATCAGTTGAATTGTGATGTCATGAGTGAATTAATGAGTAAGTAACATTGTATACCACCTGCTTGTATTTTCTTTACCTGCACTGCCTCTGTGAGGATCAACTTGCTGTGATATCTTTCATCAATTTATTTAAAGTTCCCTGACCAGTTGTTTGTCTGTGGTGTGTAGCTGAATGGCAGATTTGTTAAATTGTGATGTGTTAGGTCTTCACATTTTCTAAGCCATGATATATGAGTTGAGGTGGCCCTTCCCTGTCACCTTGACTTCCCAGACGGGTCCCAGAAAAATTGGTACCCACTGTTTGGATCAGACACCCCTGCCTCTGCTGGCATTGAACTAGGACCCCTGTCTTGGCAGCCAGATAACTACCACCATTCCTGTGCAACTGTACAAACTAGGAGAATAAATATAGAAAGTCTGCATTTTTTGCTGTGAAGTTAGCTGACACCTAGAGGTGGAGAGAGAGATAGATAAAGAATATATGTTTGGCAACCATTTATACTTGTTTAACTGCAAGCTTAACTGCCTTTCCTATCTGTATATGAAAGAAAAACTTACTACCTTGGTGGCTAGGATGCTAATGACAGTGTCTAGCTTAAACAATTTAGCAGTGTCTGCTTGCAGACTGCATGTTCAGTATATGTCAGTTTGATGTTTGTTCAGCAGGCTCTCAGGAAAAGATAGATCCAAGTGCTGGGGAGACTCAGCTACAGAGACGAGATGAAGATGACAAAGCTAATAGTGCAGGTTTGTTTAGTTGAACAAGATCATAGCTTGTTTTGTTACAGGTACTGTTGATGTTATTTATTTATTTTTATGTATTACATTCTCAACCTCAAAGAAAGCCTTGTACACTGTATGTGCCCTAATTATAACTTCTTCAGAGTTTGAATGTTAGACCTAAGATTTCTCCTGTAATATTTCCATCCAGACAGTGACTGTCATAGGGGTGTTACATTTTCAGGTAGCAGCCTGGAGGGGGAAAACAGTCAGTTTATTTTTTTTAAATATGAGGAATAAATGCTGCTTGATGACACAGTTGCCACATCATGAAACAGACTGAGGTTTGTCTTTTAAACTGAGCCTTACTGGGGACTGAACATATATCCAATGATGTTAAAAAAGTTAGAAATATTTATCTGTCTGTCTCTTTTTTGGTTTCAAGTCTTTCTTTCCTTTCCCTCCTTTTGACCCTCTTTTTCTCCCTCCCTCTTTCTAAATAATAAAAATACTACATGGTCAAGCTCATGCATGGAGAAATTCCATAGTGAAAGTGAAAACTAAGTCTGTAGTGTTTAGTGCTCTCTTGTTAGTTTTGTTAGTTCCTTAACCTTTACAGGATGTTGCAGAACCAACCCCAGCATTTTTTGGCTGCTGTGGTTTTTTTCTAGGCAAGTTTTTGCTTTCAGTAGTTTGCCATTGCCTAAAGTCAGCTCTTGGTGCCACTGTCAAAACCAATGCAAGACAAACCCCCTCTTCCTTCTTCTAATAGTCCATACTGTGTGGCATTATTCATCTGTCTGTCTCCTGCCTCATCTACTGCCAGCCATTTATGATAAAGATGTTTCTTCCTGTATAACATCCTCACCTGCACTGGAATGCAGGTTACACCAGGTTGCTGTAGCCTTTACAGGTGGTAGCCTATTAATTACTTCACTAGAGGTTAAAGGGGTATCTTTTTTCTGCCATGTTGGCCTACCAGCTCTTGGTGTCGTTGTCAAAACCAACGCAAGACAAACCCACGCATTACGAAGCACGTTTGCAGTGCCTAAGCCACAGAGGCCGACTTGTACACTCTTGTGCATGTGGTTAAAATTGAACCACCACTATCCAAAAAAAGAAAAGACTGAATAGATTTCACCTACGATGTTTATGATATATCCTTTACCTCTTGGGAAGATATAGTAACCAAAACTTTAATCAAACAAGCACCGCAGGCTGCTTACTTAGCTCCAAATGTGGTGTCTTGGCTGTATATGCCAGGTTCATTCAATGAAGTGTACTCAGGGTTAGACCTCTGCCTGCCACATTTGGCCCGTGGGCCAGCAGTTAAATAGCTGTGGTAAATAATATATGATGGTTAGGCTTATTTTAAAATACATTTGTTATGGACTGCTGGAAGATGGAAGAAGAAAATATAGCCATAAGTAGATTTAGGCACCAGTTGCAAAAGTTTGTGCACATGGGATATCATAATGTTGCACATTGACATAACAACTTGGGAGCTGATGGCTTCTGACTGTAGCATGTGAAGTAGCAATGAAATTAATCATCTTGATACTGATGAAAGAAATTCAACAAGCAGAAAAGCTTCCTGCCTGTAGAATATATAAACATATAATCAGATAAAATATGACACCAGTAAGTAGAACTAGTCAGCTTCACATTATCACAGTCATAAATGACTGTTGTGTCTATAAGCCTACATTAGCATGTGGCACGAACAGACAGTGTTACAATTACAAACAAGAATACACAAAATCAGTTAGCGGAGGTCTGTCCTAGAAATAATCAGAGATCATTGTTCCTTCTTCTAATAGTCCATACTGTGTGGCATTATTCATCCTGTCTATCTCCTGCCTCATCTACTACCAGCCATTTATGATAAAGATGTTTCTTCATGTATAACATCTTCACCTGCACTGGAATGCAGGTTACACCAGGTTGCTGTAGCCTTTACAGGTGGTAGCCTATTAATTACTTCACTAGAGGTTAAAGGGGTATCTTTTTTCTGCCATGTTAGCCTACCATCAAGATTAATATTAGTATCTCATCCTTCAGGTAGCACCCCAGAGGGGGAAAGCGATCACACATGTCATAATGTCAAACTGTCCTTGGTCTCCTCATGCCTCTATTCTCTTCCAGTTTACCTGTTGTCATGACTGTCTAGTTTTCTCCTACTTATGACATGCCTACAAAATGTGAACTGCCTTTGTCTGATCATTTTTCATTAGTATATTGTATATTGATCTGTTGTTCATCTTATTTAGCACTGGAAACTCTGCTCCATAAATTGTTGGCAAACAGTCAAATATTGGTTACTGAAGCGGTGAAAGCACAGACAGAAGCAGCTGCAAGCACTCGTCATCACAGTGAGCTACTTAAACAAGCCCTGAACAATGTGGAAGATGTGAGCAGCTTTTTTTGTAAAGTTTAATTGGATACTGCTGTAATTATACCAGTTGTTGAAATATTAACTTTTCCTATGGTGTACTTATTATTTCATCATGTCTCTTCTTAGATAATCTTTAGACAAAAATTGTCCATGATTGACAGATATGTCAAGAATCTGTTCATTCCTCTATATTTTGAAACTTGGGTAACAGTGGCAGTTAAATTAGTTATAAATCCCCACATATGTGCACTTTGGTACTCTAAGAGTTAAAATGACTAAGTAATGCCAATTTCAAAGGGGCTTGACATGAGTTGGTTGAAGGGCTACACTCTTTAGGACCCTTTTAAACATCAGTGGCGATTCAGGCGTGTGATGCTGGACTCATTTTGTATGTATACTAAATTAGTGCTTAACAGGTGATGTGGTCAAAATCACAAGAGCCGCCTTTACTTCCCAGGAAATTGTGATGTTCCCATCTGAGGCTGGATCAACATGGGAACCAAGGTGAGTAATCCCCCAGGTGTGGATTCCAACCCAAGACCACCAGAAATTAACACTGTTCAGTGTAAAGAAAACATTTGTCTGTTCAGCCACAAAGAAATAAAATAATTTAATTTAATTGTATTTAATTTTGTTCTTTCATGATTAGCTTGATTTTCTTGTTTGTCTTTATTTGTCTGTGTTTCTTGTTTTCACAGGTTTTTGGTACAGATCCCTGGGAAGCTGTAGCTGTAGCAAACAGAGAGAGAGAACAGGCGTTGTTAAGAGCCTCTGAGAAAGTTTTGGAACTCAAGTTCGTATAAGTAGTTCTTTATGTCAGTAACAATATGCACCATTGCTTCATCAAACAACAAAGTATAGATTTATACACAAAATGGGGTTCTAGTCCTAGCTTAGTCCATAGAGAAAAGTTCGGAACAAGCTAGAAAATCATAAATTATGTAAGTTTTCCTGATGGTTTAATATATCTTAATATGGTCAGATCTTTATGAAATTTTGCAAGGACCTTCCTTATCTATCATACAAACAATAAATCACAGAGAAATAAAGTTAGGTATGTTTATTTCATACTTATTTTCATCTGATGAAGGTATATATATAAGTGATGAGAGCATTTGTTTCAGTAGCGTTTTCAGTCCTGCTAAAAAACTGTTCAATGTATGGAGCTGAAAGTTTGTGTAGCTGCTCAGATATGGTTGAACTATAATCTGAACCTCTGTCATCTCTGTATCTGTGTTAGGTTTTCTTATATTGATGTCCACAATTTTTCTGAAGTTTCATAAAATCACAACTCAATTTAAATGCTGATCTCAGGTGTTGGGCCCTTTAAAATGGCATGTTTCAAACAACATCTATTGAAGAGCATGTCCTCCAAATTTCTGTGAATTTGGCCCAATAGTTTTGAAATTATCATGATAACAGTAACGCACATGTGCGAAAACATGATTTTAAGAAAACGGCCTTTAAAGTTTTAACATACTGAAAATGTCAGTCAGTCCATCCTATCGGGCACATAAGCTATTTATATAATTTGTGTGATGTCCCAAGATGTGAACTATGAAGTAAAATTAACCTAGACTACTCGTGGGCACCAGCAAGGTAAAAATCCTCTTTGTCTTTTTCATGCATGACAGCCACTATTCTCCGCGCTTGCCGTACACTCTGTGATAATTTTGTAGCTGCTGAGTTTATTCTTGTTCGATCCAGCTCACTGAACCAAAGTCTGGTATAGAGTCCACTAGGCATCCCTAGATTCTCAAATATAGGTATCCTACCCCTCTCACCATCATTAAAAACCACAGTAGCATCATAAACTGCAAGAGTTAGTCTAGGCCTTCCAACAAAACCAGTCTTTGGGCATCTTTGCCAAATGGAATTATGAAAACTCTCATTTGTATTTTGTGTCCCTTCATGAGCACACTTTGACAGTAAGGTCTCACTGGTGAGTGTTTCAAAGACAGGTCTGATGGCTTCACACACATAGGGAGGGAAAGCATTTCTGTCAGGATCTGCTGCAGGCTGATTCTTGGAAGGGCACCAATCTCCACAGTTGATATGGTCACGGTTTCTGTGCTGCCATATGGCCCAGATTTCTTTTCGCATCTGAGGCACATTGTTGGTGTTTCTTCTAATAGCAGCACCGTAGTGTCCTTGAATCTTTAGGATTGACTTTTTCCTCAGACAACCCCTTCCACCAATTCCTCGAACACTCTTGCCATTGTGCATAAACGTCTCCTTCTTCAGCTCATTTACCTTATTTGTAAGGTGTCGCCCCATTCTCTTCTGCACATGCCTACAACATTCTAGTTTTGCAATATCAACATCAGTATACACAGGTGGTTCTGCATTTGCAACTGAAGTGAATGATTTACTGTCTCTGTCTCCAAGACAGGAAACATAGCGCAGACAATACAACTGCTCACTTCACTTGAACATTTCCAGTTGGTTCCATGCTACCTGCAGATCCACTGTGATTCTTATCACAATTCTGAGCATGAGAAAGCTTCCATGCCTGGAACTCAGCCTCAGTTTTAGTCTTCTTATGTTTTGCACAAGGGTTGCAATAATTACCGAGAACTGCAGTGTCAAGAACTTTTGAGTTAGGCCCATCCACGGTGAGAAGAGTGACCACACCATTTTTGCTCTGGAACCCCCTTCTCTGCCATGTACCATCACAGGAGACTGTTATGGCTTCTCCTTTCTTTTCCTGATCTCAGCTGCAACTCTCTGCATACTTGTGCGTGCAACAGTCTCTGTAGCATGAAGAATGTTCTTCTTGTGAAGAGACCAACTGCTCTTATGCATACTTGTTGGCATGTTCATATTGCCAAGAAATTTCTTGCCATGTATATAGTTCCTTCCTATAGCAAAAAGAGCAAGTGTATACCTTCTGTTGACTTCATAAGTCTTCCCACATTTTGCAGAGGGCATAAATGAAATTTTTTGTTGACACTGACAGTGGAAAGTGAACGTCGAGGCCAACAAGCTTCTTTCTTCAGTTACAAAGGACTTGTTCTCGCCCAGAGGTTGCCCACACTGACTGCACAATAAAGTATTTATAAAGTTAATAAGAAGCTGAACGTCAACAAAACGAAAACCAGTCAGCTCTTCCGCTGTATCAAACTCAGTCTGCGAGGTTTGAGGTACTAGTTTCATTTTAGAAGCAGACGTAGATGGTCGGTTTTTATCATCCAAACCACTAATTTCATTACTTCCAGCTTCTTGTTCGTGTTTGTCAGAGTACTGATTGCCGTGAAAAGAACGTTTTCTTGGTCTATAGCCTCTAGCCTCTATTTATCTTTCTTTTGCCCATAATTATACAGTTTGTTGTCTCAACCATAAAAATGACTTCCGTGCATAACAACAAACATGCCGGTTAGCGTCACTGTGCGAGAGGCGTTTTGTATGAGACGAGTGCTCTGATTGGCTAGATAAAGCATTTCCTCAAGAAACGGACCAATGAAAATTTGTCTTATGTGCTGTGAGCCATGAAAATTTGATGTATAGGTCTCATAAAACGGAACAATTTACAACTTAGATGAAGTCTCTAAGTCAACTACAAGTCGATACAATTTTTCAAAGTTTTTGCATAAATAATGAGCTGTAAAACATAGATAAATAAGTTAGATATGCTTCAGCAAATGCAGAAATAGAGCTTTAAAACACATTCCTTTTTCAACCCCTTATGCACAGCTGTTTTATACTGTGGATAATTGTGAATTGTGTATGGAAACCCAAAATGGTCAAAATTTATGATTTTCATCTTAGACCCTCCCCTTTTAGGCCATAAAGAAAAGTTCAGCATTAATTTAGCTTAGGCCATAGAGAAAAGTTCAGCATTAATTTAGCTTAGGCCAAAGAGAACAAACAGTTCAGCATTTTATATATCTTAGGCCATAAAGAAAAGTTCAGCAGTAATTTACCTTTGGCCATAGAGAAAAGTTCAGCATTAATTGCATTAATTTACCCTAGGCCATAGAGACATGTTCAGCATTAATTACTTGAAACGTATTTTTAATTATTATTCAGTTAAGCCAGCTCCTTTCAGCCTCCCTCTACAAAAAAAAAATATAAAAATAATCTTCTCTCCTTTTCTCTTCTTTTCCTCCAGTCACCTCATTGAAGTGTTGGAGGAGATAATAAGGATTTTCTGTCTGCACTCTCTGTTGTATTGCATAAGTTGATTTTCATTTATTTAAGGCTGTTCTTGAGGCGGTTATTCCATCTTTGGTGTAGTCTTCCCTTTGCTTTGTGTTCCTGTCTTCAGCACAGCTATATGTGGCAGTTGGTGTCAGGATGTTTTATTTAGATGCAAGACCATCAGATCCATTGTTTTCTAATGAACTGTATGAGTGGTTTCAGTCACTGATACAGACACAAATATCACTTTCATTGCTATATATTTACAGTACTTATGCTTAAAGGATAGGTCTCCTGTTTTCTAGGTGTGTGCTTGGTTGATATTTGTACAAATAATAATTTACATTCATCCGTTTTTGTTTCTAGGAAATGTGTCGAAAAACTGCAGGATGTGATACAGGAAGGAAAAAACAATCAAGTGACACAGAACAATCCAGTTGTTATAGATGCTTCCAGGCAACTTAGTGAATTCATGAAAGAGCTAGGAAATGTCAATTCACAGGTGAACTTTTCAAATATTTTTTTTTAATTCATTATTTTTAAATGTGAGAAATTTTTGGTTTGTAAGTATATGTTCTCATGTAATGTACAACTGAATTTTATGATGTTTTTGGAAGTCTTCACTGCCATATGTTTATAATGTTCAGGCATTCTTCTCCTTCTTCTCCTCCCTTTTCATCATACTGAGCCTTTGAGGTTCTTTGCTACAGATATCACAAACCTCCATTTATCACTGTGATTGAATTTCTCTTTCCATTTGGTCACTCTGTAGAAGAATGCCTGAATGTGATCCTTCCACCACACAGGCTCTCTAGAAACTTATAAGGTTTTTTTAAAAATTTATTATCTTTATTCCCTAGGTTCGACAAGCAGAAGCTGAAGCAAATATGGTACAGAAGTACAAGGAGTTGGTGGAGAAAGGAAGGAAACAGTTTCAGAAAGAAATTGAAAGCCTTGTGCCAGCAGAAAAACTTAGTCAAGGTATGTGTATTAAAGAAACATGTTTTTGTGAAGTAATAACCTTTTTGCCTCGGAATGCTTTAAAAAATTAAAAAACGCAGGACCCGCTGCAGTTCCTGAAAAAAATCCTTTTGCAAAAATATAAACTTATTCGACACAGGTCACTAATAAATCTGTTTAAAATATATTAAGGAAGTAATCAGTAAAAAACAAATGGTGTGAAGCATTAAATAGAATAAATTTCCCGGGGCCTATACAAAGAATGTATTGCGTGACTCATCAGTATTCAAACACTGAGGCTACGGGCAAATTCTGAGATGAAAATGGCATTAAAAAAACAAAATCTCCCTGATGCTAGTAAATAGTAGATATTTTTAGTAAACTTTCTTTTCTGGGCCCATTCAACACGCTGCAGGTGCAGATAGAACCCAAAGCTGTTATCTAGGTTTCTCAGGGACAAGCTGTAGCAGAAATGCCGGGTGAGTGAATTTATGGAAACAAGTCACAGGCAGAGAGAAGCGGCTGGCCAAACGGTTCGAATGCTGCGTTCTCAAACAACAGACCTGGGTTCAAATCCTCTGGAAGGCTAGGGATTTTTCTGTCGGGGAAAAATAAAATCCTCACCTTCACAGTCGGGGCGACTGCACTAGCTATGTGGTCGTAAATTCTCAGGCTCAAAGACCCCCCTGCCTTCACCGCAACAGGGGTATAATAAAGGCAGTAACTGGCAATCACAGGCAGAAATGCTGGGTTTGCTGTTCTTTAGAGCAACAGGATTAAGATCTGTTTGAGAGAAATGGCAGACGTTTTCACAGTTATTGCACAGAAAGCTTAATTTGGGAATCCAAACATTGGGTAATACATGTTGGTTAGCTATTAGCGAATTGACATAATCAGTGTCTGAGATCATTCATGCAAGCCCTTCAGATAGCAAATAATATGTATAATAATTGTCCCTTTAGAATACAGGTTTTTTCACAAGCTGTTCCTGCTGTCTGGATCTTTCCTTTCGTGATTGGGTAACTGAATATTATAGCAGGTTTACAGCAAGCCTTTTTTTTTTTTTTTGGGATCTCCTTGACCTTTTCTTGCCCTCCTCCTCAGTCTTTTTCTCCCCCATCTCTGGGTCCTCATTCTACCATAAAAATGACAGCTGTGTCCATTTACAACATACCTATCATACTATCCTTGTCAGCTGGCTTGCATCCATCTTCAGCACAGTATTTGTTTTTTGGACTTGTTTTGTCTTCATTCTTTGATCTCTAATCTCTGGGCCATACTTTGGTGATGCATCCAATTCCAGGACAGCAGATGGAGGTGAAGTATCGCCTTGTTGATCCTGATGGCAGTTTTATACAGATGACTGTGCAGTCATTTAAATCATGTTTTTTGAAAGTGTATAAAGGTAACATGAGGGTATTCGTTTTGAAGACTTGCAGGAAGTGATAGATAGATGGAATATCTGAGGCCCTAAATACCAGCATTTATGTAGTACATGAAGCTAGCAGATGATGTCTTTTCAAAACCTCTGAGGCTGAAAGGCAGAATGAGACTAAAGATAAGTAGTGCAAAGTGTTTTAATGCAGTTTATAGTAAGTCAAGGTTTCATAGCAAAATATTGTTATACTCTTTATTAAAAGTGATACATTAGCAATAATCCATTATTGGGAAAATCTGGGGTTCGAATGATTAATGTGTTTTCATCAACAAATTACTACTTGTGGAAATAATTTTGAGATGGTACAGTAAAAGAGATAAAACAAGCCGGGGGAGGGGGGATTATTTATTTGTTATTTTATCCTGAACTTATTTTGTTGTACAAAAGGAAAACTGTCAGAGGATGAGCTGAATATATTGATTGCCCATTCATTCCGTCGAGTGGAGCAGCTGCAGAAGCAGCTTCTTGAGTTGCAGACCCAAGAACAACAGAAACTCAACGCTGCCCTTGAAATACAAAAACAGGAAGATGTCCAGCTCACTGAAGCCACAATCTCTGAGGAACGTCAGCGTATTCAGGAGGAATTTGAACATGAAAAGGCCAAATTGGCAAGTACCTGGAACTTTGAATTTACTTTTTGTATATGCATTCATAGATATTCTGGTAAGCATGAGTCTCACTTTCCCAGTTCCAGATCCTCAGTTTCTTACAACTGTGTCAGATGAGAATTAGATTACAGTTTGCACTATTTAAATATTTTTGACAGTTTGAATGAAATAATTTGACTGTGTTAGAAGAGGAGTTCTTAGGGGCAGTAAACAATTGAAACACCTCATCCTACTGAGCATATCAGCTACCCATCTAAAAGATTTGGTTGCAAAAGCAGGGAATATGTCTAGAAAGGCTTGGTGCAGATGAAATAATAAGAAGTGGGTCATGGAAGACACAAGTAAGAAAGGAAATGAAATGACCAGCTATCTTCTCTTGAGATAAAAGTAAAAGACTGAATATTGAAAGAACAAATCCAGACCAGCATTCAGAGTAAAGAGTGTTACAGTGGAAAGGCACATCTGCCTTTCTAATTTCTAATTCTCAGGAAGTTTCAGAGATCTTCCTCTTTGCGTTGGCCGGCTATAAGCTCTGTCAGAAAGTTCTGGTTGTTCGCTCACCTCTAGACTTTAAGTCTTGTTCCAGAACCTGAGTGTTGTGTACACATCAGTTTTACAGATATAGCTTAATTGTATGCAGACTGTGGGTCCCTTGCCTGTCAGGCAGATGCGCTCTGACTTCAAAGGAAGCCCCCTATTAGTCAACTCGACAGGCAGTGGGTCTGTACCTGTTTTCTCACAGTGGGGCCCATGAACCCACTTGGGAAAGTGTCAGAGATGAGAATTTTATTCTATCTGTTACACGCCGGAAAACTGAAGCTGCAAGGTTTTAGGCTAATGGGGCAATGGCTCACCTGGAAAGAGACGGGCACCAACCAGATCAGACTTTTTTTCCTGCCCCGCCATGCGACGGGCCTAGCAAGCCAGCAGTGGTGTATTTGATTGCTACTACTCGAGAAACATGATTATAGGACAGACTCTTGCGGACATAGACCAGCAACGTTAAAGAACAACGAGATAGAACAACGTTTAGGATGGCTACTTGGAACATCAGCGGAATGGGAGACAAAGAGACTGAACTGGCAGAATTGATGGTTAAAAAAAAAAAATTTAATCATGGGGATATCGGATATAAGAAAAAGAGGGCAAGGTATGACAAAAATTCCATAAAAACTATACTTTTTCATGGAGAGGCACCCAACCGAATGAGACTAACAAACATGGAGTGGGTTTCATCATTGCTCCAGAAATAGCTACATTTATACTAGAAACAGACTACAAATCAGAAAAAATTATGAGCGTCGGACTAGTACTAGGCAGGAAAAGGTTAACATACATCCAAGTATACGCTCCATGTAATGATACATATAAGCTTGAAGAAAGAATAGAATTCTTCGACAGCTTGTACATACTGTACAAAATTGTAGAAAATTATGGTATTCGAGATCAACTGTTGGATAATATTATAGCTCTTTACCAAGATAATCAGTGGTTTCAGACTGGTTTCCCATCTTATCAGGTGTCAGACAGGAATGTGTCCTCTCACCATTACTATTCATTACTTAACATGGGTAGAATATCACAGGAGGCAAATACAGACACTGCAGAAATCAAGGAACTTCTTTTTGCAGATGATCAGTGTCTAATACACACCACCAAGAACAGAATTACACCATATTGACTCCTTACATCGAGCCTGCACAAAGTATACATTGGAAAAAACACTGCAAAAACTGAGGTAATGAAAATAGGCAGGAAACATAATAATATGAATGTTCCAGTTAACCGTACTACAATAATACAAGTACGAGAATTCAAATATCTAGGAAGAATATTCACGGACGATGGCAGACTCAAAAGAGAGATAGAAGCCAGAGTACAGAAGGCAAATGCTGTCACCTACCAGTTAGCCCCATTGCTTAGACACCCAAATGTCTCCCTTCCAGCAAAATAGCAAATGATTAATAGCATCTTTATCCCTACTTTATGTTATCAGTGCCAAACATGGACATTGAATAGGGCACTAGAACAGAAGATAACTACATGTGAAATGTGGTGTCTCCACAAGGTCACTAACAACACTAGACGAGACAGTTTTACAAATACCAGCATTAGAGAGAAAGTTGAAATAAAACCATGTCTGGATTATATTGACAGACAAAGAATGAAATGGTTCTGCCATCAAGTGAGAATGCAGCCAGACCAGACCAGACTGCATATGAGACTTTTTACAGTAGAACATCTGGGAGGAAGGCGAGAGGAAGACCAAGAAAGATATGGATAAATGGTGTAGAAGAAACCTGCAAAAAATTCAACAAATCCATCTCTCAAGCCACCGAGAAGCGCAAGGCAAATACAGAAATGCACGACACTGGGTTACAGGCCGGTATCATTGAGACGACAGAAGAAGAAAAGTGTATCTGATTCCCATCAACGGTAATAGATGGGGATTTTGTTGATGCTGTTCGTCCGATTCTGAAATGACTGGAAAGATGCTATATAAAAGTTATCTATATGTATGATAAGTATAACTGGTCAGCTTCAAATTATCAAAGTCATGAATGACATATGACTGTTGCGGCTAGAAAACCTTTATCAGTATGTGTCACAAACAGAAATGATACAGTTACAAACCAGAATACACAGTCACATATCTGAAAGTTGAGGTCTTTCACAGAAATATCCCTTTCTGAGTTCCCCATGATGCAGGAAGAGGTTCCTAGACAGAAAATGAGTTAGAATTGGTGGTTTATGGCAAGGGTTATTGCTCTAAATTTGTTAAAGCTTTGTTGGACGTTAAGGCCCCTGACAGATAAGAGAAGACTTGCGGACCCTTTCACTGGAAGGCTAGACCCTTTCACTGGAAGGCTAGACTTGATCGGCGTTAACTTCCATTAAAGATAATGATGTTGTTACTGTTTGTGTGTAATTTCTAGCAGCAGTAGTAAATGATGATTTTCATACTTCTGTTTCCCAGCAACAGAGAGGGATGACATGTCATTTATGTCTCATTTTTTTTTTTTAGTGGTTGATTTATCTTCAGACATAAAATTTCCTGTTCGAGTGATTCTTATTGTTGTCAATGATATCTGTAGCAAATGGACTACCTAGTTAAGCTAGAGACTGAAGTGAGGAAGCAGCTTGCCCGACAGGCGGCTGCCCACAGTGATCACCTGAAAGATGTGCTGGCAGTTCAGAAGCAAGAATTAACTGCAGAATATCACCGGGTTCTTCAGTATAAGCTTTTGGAGGAGAGAGAGAGGTTTCAGACAGAAGTGGCTGCATGGATCTCTAGACTGAAGGGCATTGAAGCGGCTGTCGAAGGTAAACATAAAATACAAATGTCCTGTTACGATTTATGTTTACCATAGTCTTCCGGAATCAGAAATATAACACAACTGGCTGATGGTGTCTTCTTCTTCTTGTGATTGCTGTCCGATTTACACCAACAGACAAGTTCTTGTAATAACATTGACTGTTTTTAAGAGTTCCATTTTAGCTTTGCATAACGTTGAGTATGTTGTTGACTCACTGGGCCAAAACTGCTTTCACACAGGGCTGTACAATAGAAAAGTGTTACTGGAATGTCTTTCATCTGAAATCTTTAAAAATATATGGAGACTAAAAGTGGTTTAGAAACAGAAATACAAGGGATATTCAGGAAGTAATTCATCCTACATCCTATTTCTTACAAACTAGTAATGCAATATAACTGGCAATATAACCCATCATGTTGTTTGCGTATAATATTTTCTGTATAATTGCCACCCACTTCTGTGACCAAATGCTGACATGATACAAGGGCGTGTTTGTTTGTACTGCAAACCTGCATCAGGTTTTCCCCTGGTTTTTTTTTTTTTTCACAGCATAAATAACATCGTCAGGTCTGTCTCTCCACTTTCTAAAGCTTTGACTCTCTCACTCCACTCAAAGTACAATTGTTCCTGCAGCGAGGTGCTGTCATCATCTGGAGGGGACAAGCTCAATCCATGATGTGGTCCTGTTGCTTTTAAAGTTTGTTTTGTCAGGTGCAATATCAAACATCCCAAACTGTAGTCAGTGGTGACAACACTGGCCATGTGGTCCTATTTCCTCAGGACCCCCCCCCCCTCTCCCCCAATCCCAATCCAGTCTACACTGTACTAAAAAGTGGTAAATACAGACAGTAGTGACAGTTGTCTAGTGTGTATCTTGTCTCTCTTCTGCATCTGTGAAAGATAGTCAGTACATTGTTTAACTTGTGTAACTTGTGTATCAGCACTTGAGATCACAGTGACAGTGACCTCATAGAGGGCCTCCACCTCTAGCATCTTTGCTGAGTTCTATCATCGGTACATCTAGTTAATGGCCTGTGTTAATTTCATTTCAGCTCGAGCAGCAAGTGAAAAACTAACTCGAAGTGCCCAAAACCTATGGCTCTCCTGTATTGCCCTTAACTCGCTGATTACCTTTGGAAGTGAGAGTGGAGATGACAAACAAACAAAACCTTTGAGGAGTAATGTTCAAGCCATTTTGGAGGCAGCTAACCAGGTAGTGTCTTATCCTTTGTTTATTTGGAGATGTTGTTCATATAGTTATGACAGTACAAATGTTGTGCGCTCAAATGCACACACACACATATACATACATCCATATATATATATATATATATATATGTATGTATATGTGTGTGTGTGTGTGCATTTATAAGTATTTATATATACACACTGTAGACTGCTGATGGGGATTTCAGATGTGGCGAGACATTATGTTGTGAAGAACAGTTTTTTTTATCCCAGGCAATAACTATATGCTTAAACTCCTTTCTAGGTTAGTTGCGTATCCTTTACAGGACATTGCAGAACCAACCCCAACAGTCCCTGGCTGTTGTGTGGTTTTTCTAAGCAAATTTACCTCCTGTAGTTTGCCATTGCTTTCTGGACGGTCGAATTTCTTGATACCACCGTCGAAACCAACGCAAGGCGCATGGCCCACAGCTGGTATCGAACCTGGCGTCCCGACATTACAAAGTGTTCACATTGACTTAGCAACAGAGCCGACTCCTTTATGAATAAGCAAAATTCTGATAAGAACTAATTAGTGGGTCCTTGGTAAGTTTTTATGAGGTCTACACTATATATGTGTACGTATGTATGTGTGTGTGTGTGTATATATATATATATATATATATACACACACACACACACAGTAGTGTTCAAATGTATATTCACACACACACACACCTACGTTTACATCCCCCTACTTCTCATGAAAGCCTTGATGTCAGCTCAAAGCAGAGACATATGTTTTTAAAAAGCTAGTTATGCTGCTTGAAATATAATCTAACAATGGTGTGTCTGAAAGCACACATATTTTTGGCCTAAGCCAGAATGCATTCATTAATTTTATTTGACTTTGAGTCATTACACTCTGAGGGATAGGAAAAAATACCATGTTTGTGTGTACATACATGCACAGTTTTCTGTTTTGTATCTCTCTGTGGCAACTGTAAGAAAGTGGTTATCTGAGGTAAAACATATTGTCTAGGCTGATAGGGACAAACAATAATTTCTGAGATGTTATACTTCCCTCCCCCACCTCCCCAAAAAATTACCATGGTGAAAAAAAATAATCATACAGGTTATTGTTTACTGTACAAATATTAGGAGACATTTTGAGCTTTGCAGATGATCGTGATTAAAGATGACGATTATAGTGAAAAATAAAATCACAAGCAAGATGGACAATAACATGTTGTTGTTAAATATATTAGTGGATGTAGTTGTACCAAGGTTGTAGGAAGTTTCAGGTAAAACAGATGATAATGTTGATTAAACTGACGATAAAGATGATGATTGTAGGGTAAATGAACTGATAAATGGGATGAATATCCAGATAATTATCTTCTTCTTCTTCTTCTTCTTTCGTTCGCATGAAATAAATTGTCTATATCTGCAAAGCTGTCTCTAGTATGAATTTCACTGTCTTTTGTAATTCACTAAGCGGCCCGTAAAGTTTGACTTCCACAAGTGTCTCTTTTGGCCAAAGGTTTTGCCTGAAAGCGTTGAATCTGGGACAGTCTTGAAGGATGTGATCTGTTGTTTCAGGTGCCAGTCCACAAGTACACATGGCTGATTGGCCAATCTTAAATTTGTTGTACATGTGGGAGCGAAGTCGATTGTGCCCTGTTCTAAGTCGAAGGATAATGACTTGCTCTGGTCTGTCCATAATATGGTAATCATCTTGTGCCAGTTTCGGTGGCATTCTGATTGATTTGATCCAGATAATTATAATAGAGACATTTTGCCTGCCAGCCCAGAGGTCTTGAGTTTGAATCCCCTTTGAGGCAGATTGGTGAAATTTACTTGTTCCTTCAGGGCAGCTCAGACTAATATGGGTACCTGGAAATATCCTGGAAAGAATGGACAGCCAGTGTGACCTTGACCTATCATCCTGCAAATGCAGATTGGTCTTTACAAAAATGGGTCAAGCACTATTTGCCTCATACTGCACACATGAAGAAGGTCCTTTACTTTACAGCAGCAAAAAAGCACTGATTTTTAAAAAAACTTTATATATATATAAATATATGAGAGCCGCTGTGGTGCAGCGGCTAGACATTCCCTGCAGATCAGAAGGTTATAGGTTTGGGTCCTGACAGCTCAACCCAGCCTTAAGTGGGTACCAGGTATGTCCTGGGAAGTAAAGGTGGCCGATGTATTGTTGACCACATTACCCACTGAGTGCTGATTATTCCATAAAGTATAGATGTCCAAAAACACATGAAGGTGTGGAAAAGAGTCCTTTACTTTTACTGCTATATGTATCAATCAATTTAGTTGAATATCCTTTACAAGACGTTGCAGAACCAACCCTAGAATTTTTGGCTGTTGTGGTTTTTCTAGGTATGTTTACCTCCAGTAATTTGTCATTGCTTTCTGTATGGTCAGCTTCTCGATACCACTTTCGAGATCAACGCAGGGCCCGTAGCTGGGATCAAACTCAGCACCCCGCCATTACGAAGTGCGTAATGCCTAAGCAATGCCTAAGCTACAGACCCCAACTCTACATGTGTGTGTGTGTGTGTGTATATATATATATAAAGATATATATATATATTTCTACATTTTTGAAATATTTTTATGACATGAAGTTGTCAGAACAGTCACTGCTGTTACTTTTGCCACAGGTTCAGAGTTTCTGAATTTCAGTAAAATTTTTTCATCTCTATTGATGAAATTGTTCAGTGAAAAATACTTCAGTATTTTAGTGCCATAATTTGACGAGATTTGTTTGATTTTGCAGAATACATTTGTTCAGACAGTGGTTGAGAATTTTCCTGATGTTGCACTGGATCGAGGCATTAACACAGAAGATGAGCTGAAGGACAGGTTTTACCGAGTGACACGTATTTGCCGCAGGCTGGGTTTAGTTGACACTCCTAATTCATCTCTGTATAGCTACCTGGTGTCCTATCTACACTCACTGCTAATTTTAGACAACTTAGAGGCACTCTCAGAAGCTGATGAAATAGATTTAAATGAGTTAGACACTTTCACTTTGCTAGCTCATGCCAAATATTGGATGGAAAAGGGACACATGGATCATGCCTTGAGATTTATGATTCAGCTACATGGAGAGTCTCGCCGAGCTGCCAGTGACTGGATTAATGAAGCTCGTGTCTTTCTAGAGACCAAACAAATTGTGCGTACATTAATGGCTTATGCCTCAGCTTCTGGCCTGGCAAATACATTTTAATATGGAGGCTAGGCTTGCAATAGACATTACTCTCATAATGTTTGATTTCAGAGTTTCAAGCTAGTTTCATTTGGTATATATATAATCCAGATTAATATTTTTTCAGTTGATTTGATTGTTCTTCGTTCTTGTTAGAGTTTTTGATCAGTTATTAATAACCAAATAGAATATATGTTGGGTTTTCCTAGGATGATACTTTGATGTGCATAGTGAATGCTTGTCTGTTGTGTTATCCTGAAAATAAACACTTTCAGTTTTCGTTTCATTTTAAGAATGATAGTATTTTTGTGAAAGTAATGTTTAGGAAAGGTGGGAAATATGTAGAAAATCAGTCAGTTAATATGACAGGGTTGGTACTTTTACAGTTATATACAGAAATTAGGTATAGAACAGACTAGCAAGCACATTGCTTTATTTAGATATTTGGAATTGCGAATGATATCTGTTTCATCAGCCAATGTAAAGAACATGTGCAACAAAAGTCAGATAGGATTACAGAAATAGCAAAACTGACAGGGTAAAGAGTCAATGTAAATTTTAAAAAAATGCTGGAGATAAACCCCAAAAGTGAAAGACCTATAGTAATAGATAATGTAGATTTAGAAACAGTAACTGATTTCACTTACCTGGGAGGCAGTATCTCCTCGGATGGAAATGTAGCGGTTCAAATCAAGCAAAAAAATTGCAAAGGCAAATACTGCTTACAGAAGACTTCAGAGTGTCTGGAGATAAAACATCTACAGCACTGAAATTAAACTCGTATTATACAAAACATGCATTAGGACAATTCTTCTCTATGGAGCAGTAACTTGCAAAACAGACAGAAAGATAGAGAGCATGCTCAGAGGTTTTGAGGGAAGACTTCTCAGAAGATTGTTGGTGTTCACATGGGAGGATAAAATCAACAATTCTAGATTGCAACAGATGACAAGACTTAGAAGGTGTAAATTTAGAAATCAAAAAACAAACATGGAGGTGGATTGGACATATCATGAGAGTGAAGAAAGAGAGATGGACGAGACAGGCAGTGCGATGGAAACCACAAGGACAGCGAGGAAGAGGCAGGCCTAAAGGCACTTGGGGGCGAACTTTTGAGGCTGAACTCAAGGCTACGTGAAGGACAAAACTGGAGATAAAGCAGATGGCTCAGGATCACCATTGTTCAGTAGTGAATATTATCCTTTTTTTTTAACATTGTGCCAACTCATACATGTTTTCGTAGAACAGCAACAGATTGTGGTTGTAGTAATTACTTGTGGGATGGATACAGGGTCAGTACCAAAGATGTGACTATAAATGTTTCTGTGACTACAAGTGAGATAATTTTAATATTATACAACATCACTCTCATATAATAGAGGGATTATTTAAAGATACACTATAGATTATAGTTCTGCAGTGGGTAATCTGTTTTGGTCTGTGAGCCTAATTAAGAATTATAAATCTTGTCATGGGCCATATATAAAAAAATCCATTATAAACATGACACCCAAATTCCCTCATTACACAATAGGTTTGTGGGATAATTTCACAAGAGGGGGAAAAAGTCTACACCTTGTATTGTATTATTAAAGTCTGCTGATGACATGTTTCTTTAGCAGGCTCAAAGTTACAGTGACATCAATTTCTGGTTATCACTTGCTTGGAGTTTTTTTCCTATGAGCATACTAATGTATATTTTGTGTTCTGCTGTTTTGTGAGCTGAAAGGCCAGATTATAATATGATAGTAATTTTACACCAGCTTCGCAGACCAGGAAGAAACTGCCTGGCGATCCTGTTTTTGATCACTGGCCATTGTTTTCCTACCTCTGCTTCAAATATATATTTTTGTAAATTAGTTTATTTTAACTATCTTTTTATGACTTAAATTTTTAATGTTAGCTGTTTGCTTCGTGGAAAAGAAAACATTACCATAATTGGCAGGCACAATATTTGTGAGGTATTAGCTTGGCTTGTCAGTGCAATGTGGCAAGAACAACACAGCCTTGCAAATTTACAGAGCCCCAAAGAAACAGACTTACAAATTAATATGACACTGCAGGCTCAGCTACCACATGCATAAAATAAAAACTGTAGTCCCCACAGCATGCCTGTCGGACAGGACCACAAACACCTGAGCACATTCTGCAGACCTGCCCACTCTACCAACAACTACGAAAAGACAGCTGGCCTCAAGAGTAAAGTGTACAGAGCAAGCTATGGGGAACCATGAAGGACCTGCTACTGACATGCAAGTTCATAGAGGCAACCAACCTCTTGGTCTGATCTGTGCATACAAAATCGAACGCAGAGAAGAAGAAGATAAAGGTAAAAATAATGAGAACATGAAAAACATATTTAAAAAAATAAAGAATAGATATATAAAAGATAAACAGTGAGAAAGGAATTGTCAAGAAGAAAAAAAACAGTGAGAAAGAAATAAGTCTCACCTCGCCGATTAAAGATGTAACTTGATGACAATTTCACCATGTAAGACTAGATACCTACATGATAAGATACTATTTTTCAGAACCGGTCTTGCAAGTGAAGCATGTGGTTAATCCTGGGCTGTGGGTTTTCACTTACATGGGTTAAACACTGCTGTATACAACATTTCTAATGTCTATCCTTGAAAATATTTGTGAGTTCATCATTAATTTATGTTGCTTTTTAAGAGTTATCTTGTGATATTTGTAATGTATGAATTCAATTTGTAACTTTTTGCTTGCCACCTAGAATTACAAGAATTATGTGATTCTTTCTTAGAATTTTGTTCAATTTCCTTTTCTCTCTGTTTGTATTGTGAAGGTGAGCAAATCACCTGCGATTTTATCTTTACCTCATGATTGTGTTATAAAACCTACATGAGAATAATATGTTTCCATACATTTGTATTTATTTTGAATGCTAGTGACCATTTGAGCCTAGACTTTAGATTAAATCAATAAAGTTTGTTTGCAAAATTGAAATGACTCTTGTCTCATTTTTGTTCCCAACTGCATGCAGTGACCTGTCAGAGCACACTATTTGTCATTCTCATTAAATACGTCAAAGCTGTGCATGTTACTTTTTCAAGACACCAGTAAAAGAAACAGTACCATGAGTGAAATGACTTTTGTCTGATGTCCACAGATATTTTAAATAGGATTAAATGCCATTGGCTTGTTGCCACTTTGCCATTTCTTTTATTCATATTGCTTTTTTTCAAGTTGAGAGCCTAATGCTCTCTCTGAGTTCTACTGTCTGCCAGTTTAAATGATGCCATTATTTGTCAAAAGGAGTGTGTGGGGTTAAGAAAGAAAGAGACTTCTACCATTTTTTTTCCCTCCCTGGAGTATAGCATGTCAGCCAAATTATGTCAAGCTCCTTGAAATTTGCTGTCTTCTGCAACTTCTATCATTTAGTACCTGAATCAAATCTAATATTTGCAGTAGAAGATATACACAAGTTCCATGGCTCTTTCACAATGTATACATAAAGTAACAACTGGGAGAAACTGGTGGGAGTAGTGATAAGCCTTACCATTAGACAAATGCAACATTTATCCTAGGTGAGCACACCTCATAGGTGACCAGAATTCTCGGTTAATACAGAACCTGAAGCTAGTTAGGACATGGAATCTGAAGTTTGTTAGTGCATAGAATTTGAAGCTATTTAGGACATAGGACTGGAAGCAGGTTATGACATAGAACCTGAAAGTAGTTAGGTCATATAACTCAAGCTATTTAGGTAATATAACCTGGAGCTAGTTAAGAACATTGAACTAGGAGCTAGCTAGAGAACAATGTCTCAAGGAATTTCAGAACAGAACAAATATTGTTAAAAAAACCAAAATATCTAGTGTACATACGTGCCCATACACAAAACAGAGTTGTTATCTATGCAGGGAGAAAAGACTGAGAAAGGGGGAAATCTAAATTTTCCATCATAATAACATTTGAGCTGAGAGTTTATTCAAGTGAGATCTTCTTTATTTGACTGATGAATATTATTAAAATAACACCAGTGAAGGTGTCAGTATATATTCTTTTGAGAGATAGAATATGGGGTGTATTTTTAATGACTATTTTTTTTTATATTGCCATTCCTATTTTTGTAATGACCATCTACTGTTATATTGTGTCTTATTTTGGGTACAGTTTTCCACATTAAGCTCTGTTCACAGTCAATTTTACTGGTTATATTGCTACCAGTATTAGGATGAGGTACTGGAGTATCAGGAAGTGACATAAATTGTTGAACAACCACACTGGAATACCTGCCACTGTTAAGGAACATATTTTTAAAAAATTACAGGACCCTCTTCCACGACTTTAGGCGTTTTGGGAATATAGAGCTAGACCTATATTTTTATAGACCAATCGGCACTTGGTGGCTGATGTGGTCAACATCCTGCCAGCCACCTTTACTTCCCAGGACTGCATCTGGTACCCACTCAAGGCTGGGCCAACCCAGGATTCAAGGTCATTTTTGAAAAAACCCACGACTTTCCGATCCACAGGAGGGCATCTAGCCACCAACGCCACAGTGACTCCCTTAACTCTTTGAGTCCCAGAGGGTTTAGCATCACAGGCCAGGGTAGTCACGAGAGACTAAAATCGGCGCATCATGCATTCATTGGGCTTCAAGGCAGTAAAATATGAACGTATGATGCGTTCTTTGGGACTCAAAGAGTTAATGAACATATGTTCAACCAAAAATAATCTTTCTTCAAAAGTTAACACCAGTTAAGCTAAGATCAGTTACTAAACACTGGTATATGGATAGTCTAAACCAGCAGTTCTCAACCTGTGGGTCGCAGCCCTTTTGTGGGTCGAATGACCCTTTCATAGGGTGCCAAAGACCATCGGAAAACACATATTCACTGAAGTTATGAAGTAGCAACGAAAAAAACTGTATGCCTTAAGAACTGTATTAAAAAGAAGCCGCATTAGGAGGGCTGAGAGCCACTTGTCTAAACTAACAGTTATGTGGCACTTTAAACGTCTTATACACATTTAATTAGGGTGCGCAAATAATT